TTGATTGGTTAATTATCACGGGAAATCACGGGTAGATCTACAAAAATTAACCAATCAAACGAAAGTCTTCCTATGAGCTCCTATATCGATACTGCACAAGATTCTTTCCATAATCTCATGGCTCAAAGAATAAATTTTTATTACCTAAGTTTTAGATCTTTGCTGGTGCCAAGTAATAACACTAGGTTTTATTCAAGATCTTCATTTTAAAATTGAATTATACCAGGTGCTTACTTTCACGAATCTAGCAATATCAACGATAGTGAAAAAGGGTTACTTTATGTGGTAGGATACTATTTTTAGAGATATTGTAAGCAGAGGTCAATGGTGATAGTATCAATCTGGCATTGCAGGATTTCCTATTACATGTTTGAACATACTTATTTAGCTTAATTGTTTTTTACTTTCATTTAAAAATTTGGAACTTATAGGATTTTATTTTAATTTTTAATGTGCAATAGGGTTCTACCACAAAATCCAAAATCTCGACAAGCTATAATACTGATATTGGTCAATATGACTATTAAAATTTAAAATTTTACAATAATTGTTAATGTGATTACTAATCTTTAAACATTAATTGTTATGCCAGGATTATGGTTTCAAGATTTTGGATGTCGAGATTTTGTAGTAGAACCGTGCAATGGATATATTTAATTGCTAATTCATTTATTTGTTTCTTTATTTGATTATTTCAGAACAACAATTAGAATTAAACATATACTATTCATGTGAGTTTGGTAAGTGTATAATATTTTTATTTGCTCAAATATAGGCTGATATTTAAGTATACATCAGTATTATTTATAAACCATCTTATAATTAATTAGAATTCAGGTGAATTTACAATGATATAATTACAAATAAGCTTCTAAATTTTAAAAATTTTATAATTAAAGAACTAAGATAACTCTGTGGTTCTTTGAACCTTTTTACTATATATATGTACTACCTTGACTAGGATACAGATCGATTGGGTTAAGCACGAAATTTATTAATATTGTAATGTTCGTTTGGCTCTAACTAATAAATCTACTCTGCACCGAAATTAGTTATAAACTAATATAAACATTAGCCATATTTTGTGAAGATTAATATGCGTTAGTCAAAGATATTTGAAATTGCAAAAACTTAATTGTATTCATAGAGAAAGTTAAATTACTTTTGTAAATCAGCAAAAGTAGTTATAATTTTTATTAAAAGTTCAGTGACTCATTTATATTATTGCTTAGGATAACTATCGAATTTTTTTAATGTCAATTTGTTCAGAAGAGCTTTCACTTTACATTGAACCACTTCAATTGGTATAAGGTTGTCTGATCCTCTAGGAATATTGTTTGTTATACCAGAAACCCATTGGCCTTCTGTAGACTCAAGAGGTGTCACTGCGTCTTGTCCTCCAGGTTGAGTTAGCTGATGTCCAACTCGGCTATTACATTTATACCGCATTTACTAATATAGGATATAACACCTGTATAATCACAATAATGATCTGAATATATCAAAAGTACATTATACTATAATCATGAAGCAAAGTGAACATCTCAAGAGTTGAATAAATGTATACAGTTGCATCTAGTGAAAAAGGGATCCTGTTGATAATAATATAATTGTTAATTATTATTATTATAATGTCTAACAGCAATATTAAAGAATTATCCCTTAAACTGTAGGCTCTTCCAGGCAAATTTGCCTAGAAAATTATCATAAATATTGTTATGATCTATTTTTTTTAAATTTTAATATATTTAAATAAAATTTTTTTGATAATATTTGAAAATAAGGATTATATTATAGCAGTATT